AGGTCAGTCCTACAAAGACTATTCACTTGTCTAAAAATTCACAGACATAAATGTTTTCAGGATCAAGGCCTTTTTCAATAATTGTGATAGTCATGTACCTTGAAGTGACTGACTGATTTAGAATACACTTAATAATTTGATTTTTTAATATAGTAGAAACACTGCATTGATGGGTTACCAAAGCGCATCATACGGGTTCACACTTCAATCATTTGTAATATATTTTTTTGTTTGCTTGTTTTTGTAATTTTTTTTTGTTGCTGTTGTTCTTGCTAGTGACGGCACTAACACATAATTTAAACTTTCTAAAAGTCGCATCTTAATTTGTATGGGCCGTGCTATGGTATTAGTTTTTCTACACAGGCTTCTTCCTTGAATTATATTTAGTTACACATTGACCGCTTTAGAAGAAACAGCAGCGGATAATACTGGTCTGGGACTGAAGGGTGAGAGAGCAACACCAATATTTTCAGTTGAGAGAAATTTCAGGTTGCTGAAAGTTGTCTCCTAGTTTAGAAGGAGACACCCACCCACCAGGAATTAAGCTGAAATCAGAAATGTAAGCTAACAAATGCTTTTGGTGATGGATCAACACCCTGGTTACAGCTTATTTACCTTTGTGGAAATGTTTGCTGAAGGGGAGGCGTTATTTATCTGGAGTGGACTACAGCTGAACTGTCACATCTCCGTCTTCCATAGACTTCCTGCTGGAGACACTGATGAAATTTGGTGGCTGCCTTCTGGCCTTGGGGAAAGTTGGGGCTCACCCTCTATCATCTGAGGCTCCCTCCCGAGGGCTTGGCAGCAGTGCCTCCCATCTTACCTTTTGTTCTGTGGTTGGTGCCTACATTTTAGTAAATCAGATCTGTGGTTCAATAACACAGAGAAATAACCGCTTCCCATGATGTATGTCCCCTTTCAGCAAACCCTTAAAGCACCTTACCTCTCCCTGTGTTGCCACTGCCTCACCACTATATTTCTAGAGCATGATGGTTTTGTACATAGGCATTACTTTAAGCTTGGTGTAAGCTCTCTTCTGGTAGCTTACTTTACTCTTGCATTAGGAGAAGAGAACATTTCACTTGGATTAGATGCAAGGTATTGAATAAGAGGTAAAAGCTGTTTATTAGCTGTTCCTGAATTTCCTATGGAAAACATCATGCATAAGTGCTGAGGGGTAGTAGCATTTTTCAAAGTCCATGAGTGGTTCAGTTGCCTGTGTTTAGAAATGATGAAAATCTCACCGAGAAATCTTCAGTCTGGTGGTTCCAAGGGATTTCCTCGCTTTTTACAGTTTGATTCTTGGGCACATTATCAAGCATTTATTTCAGATATTCATTGAGCAGTAGTATTTTTTTGCAGAGCAGAATAGTGTGGATTAAATCCTCTACTGGTGTACAGTTATGTCATTTCATTGGCTTCAGTGGTTCAATACAGATTTGTATCATCTGATAGCTTCCTCTAGCCAAAGCAGGTGCTGTTTGATGGAATGAAGAGGGCCAAGTATCAATTTGATACGCACATTTGTTTCTCCTGTGTTAAAATAATTACAAAAACATCAACTGATATCTTACTGTACTTGCATTTTCATTTCTGTCTGTTTATATTATAAAAATAGTCGAAGCTTCATTTTTGCTTATTGTCAAGGTTGATTTTGATGCTTTAGTTTTCTTCACAATTAAATGAAAACCAGTTTGCTTGGTATGTGTTTTACAAGAATTTGTCCTTTTTTAGGAGTAATATTTAGGCCAACTCTATTATTATAAAAGAAATATTCAGAAGTTGGAAAAAAATTAATCAGATATTTTTAGTCCTTCTTGTATATGTCTGGGATTTTGTAATGCCCAAATCTTTTTCATGTTCTCTGCAGACTTATCTAGTCTAGCTCTATTTTTTTCCTTTATGTTAAATGCCACAAAACCCCTGTGATGTTAACATCCAGTATCATATTTTAAAGATTTCTGTATCAGTTTTGTTTCCATGTACTGTTCACTTATAACTTCTTTCTAATCGAGATAGATGAAAAATTTAAAGATTTTTTTTAATCACAAACTGATTCATTTATATAAGTAGACATAAACTAAAGTAACATGAGGTGTAACAACAGAAATTAAAAATGGGCTTTTAAAAATGAACATTAAAATTTACATTAAAAACATGTGGATAAAAGATTGCTTCAGGAATATATTTTCCTGTACACCATTCAGACAGATGTAATCTAAAAGGCCAAACCCCATGGTAGTCTATTAGCAGTATATGCTTATTTTCCAGACACATTATAACTGCAGAAACAACACAACTAATTGTCCTGTGACAGTGTAAAGCTTAGTGTACACATGCACATAGATCTTTGCAGGATCAGGGCCTATGTCTATTTTGCTTCAGCAGTGTTACCTGCTCTGGGGTTTGGGATGTTTTCTTTCCCCTTGGTAATTAAAATGCAGATCTGTCACTGTGGTCACATTTCCCAGCTTTATAAGGTCAGGGGCGATGCCTGTGCTGAATACAGCCTGTGCTAAACAGTGATTATATTTAATTTTTACTTTATCTTGATATCTACAGCTGCCTCAGGGTAAGGATCTAGGAGATTTTAAGTGTAGTTCTGTGTACCCAACCCTTTTCACAAGGGTTGTTTTGCCATCAGTTCGGCTCCCGTAAGTCACTTTAGATGGTGACGATGCTATTGCATGCGAAAGGCTGCCAGGCTGGTGGGTGCAAGGGCAGGACAGCAGGAAGCTTGTGATCTCTTTCACGGGCAGGTAGGTACGAGATTGGCTTATCTATAACCAAAACTTGCCCTCACAGAGTTGTTTTGGGTAATGCATGTATTGCTTTATTCCTGGGTGATGAAGCAGCGGAGCTCCAACCTGATGCGAATACACCAGTAGTCCCGAAGTAGCTTCTGATCTCTTCCCCTGGTAGATCTCCAAAGCTTTGCATGAGCTCCAGCCTCTGCCTTGCTCTTCTCCATCCTTTTCCTTACTGGGGGGGGATGTGGGGGGGGTTGGGGGGGGGTGGGAGTGGGGGTGGGGGTGTGCTCTTCACTGGCTCCTCACGGCTAGTTCTGTTTAGAGCTTGAGCATGTAGACGAGTGCTCTCTCCTTTTAACACCTTCTGTGGAGGATGCTTAAACAAGGAAAGCCCTGCTCAGGATTAGCGAAGAAGAGGAGATCGATGCAAGGCTGCTCTCTTTTGTACCCAAATGTCGTAATTTATGTTTGCATACAGTTTCTTGTGATTGTGAAGGGTTTAACTCATATAAAGCATTTGACATGGCACATAAGAATCAACAATGTAAATATTTTTAGCATTTATAGTTTCATAACCAGGGTGTCTGTTTCTGTTTTTATTAAGAAGAATGTAACAGGTGAACTAGTTTTATGGGTGTTTCATTACAACCTATGGAGCCTTTGCTGATCTAAGTTTGATTCTTCATAGCTTTACATACATATATTTATTTATTTAATTTAAACACCATTTTCCAAAAGACTACCGGCCAGAGGATATCTTAAAATAACCTGCTTGAAATTTATCATTTTATAAAAAACATTTAAGCTTGTAGGAGTTTCTGTTCTATTCTGTAATTGCAAGAATGTCATGTCTAGCCAATAAAGACTATAGGATTAAATCTTGTCTCAAATCATGTTATTTCTGTCTAATAGGAGAACATTTGAGAACCTATAGGCACTTTTTCTGGGTTACACAAAGAAACTGTTTTGCCTGAGAAGTCCTGAGGTTTATGCATTTTATTAGATTGTTTGGTTTGGTTTTTTTTCCACAGAAGAGTAGACAGCTTTAGTTCATCTTCTGTATTTTTCCACACATCTTGGTGTCCTCCTGTATTTCATCAGAGATTTAGGAGCAGCTTGACTAATGCTTTTATTCTATGGCATAATATTTTTCTTCCTTTTTTTTCATGTAAAATTATATTATTATTCTTATATTTACAGTATCCTTTGCGAAGTTTCATCTTGTATTACAGTGTCTACAATGACAAACCACAGCTCGTCTAAGACAGGGAATATTTTTCTTGAGCATCTCCAGCATCGGACTATGGTGTGTGTATGTCAGTTTTACTGAGAGGTTGGATTAGGGTATCAGCTGTCATTGAGTCTTGTCAAGATTTATATTTTGGCTGTACACCACACAACTGTGTGAAGACTGGCCTCCGCAATCGAGGAGATGCATCTTCTAAATCCTTCCTCGCGGCTGTTACTAGTGGCTTTGTTTCTGACAGTTTCTAATTTTCTGTACATAATAAAATCAATTATTTTGCACATGTATGCTAAAGCTAGAGGCTGTTTTTTGACTGTGCATTCTACAATTAGTTATGTAAATAGCAGCATATGCTACAAGTTTCCAGTGCTCACCCTGCCTTTATAGAAGTGTTGGCTCAGGCTCTGCTTCAAAGTTAGTTGGCAGAGGTGTTTGGTGCTCTGTGGCTCAGGCTCTGAAGACAATGCTTTCTTCATCAGTTTTCCCTTGTGTTTAGTGTGTTAGTCTATAGTACATCTATAGTACATGTTTCTATGCCAAAGCCAAGACATGACTCGAATGCACTAAGGATTTTGTTAGTCAGATATTCAAACTTCTCCACATTTTTCTTGGTTCATATATAGAAGGGTACTGTAATTGTATGTGTGCTGTGGAACACCTCCTGTCTGCATAGTCAATCTTCCCCCTATCCCACTTAGCTTATTTTTTTAAATAACAAAGAAATAATAAATTATTTATTGAAACAATAAAGTTTGAATTCACGTCTCTGCCTAATGGTTTCTAAACCAGCCCTTTCCAGAGATTTCAGGGGTATATAATGAAGTTATTATTTAATCCCATATGAAAGCCTATTGCAATTTCTTCAATATCATCAAATATTTCGTTATCTTTTTTTAAAAATACTTCAGCTGCAGAGTGTAATCCACAAGGTAGGTTGGTAAAGCAGCAAATTCCAAGTGGTGTTTTAAAAATGCCCACACACAAATTGGTTTTTCATCTTCTCCTAGAAGATCCTGCTGGAGCCCTGATCAAGGACCCAGTGTGGAGCAGTTTTTGGCACTTTGGTTTTCAGCAGGGCTTCTGGGTCTTAAATCACAAGCTCCCATAGCTTCAGTCACAGAAAACAGACAGGTTTGTTAAAGCTTATTATCTGTTACTTTTGTGCTAGCTCCCTGTATGGGGGGGGGGGGGGGGGGGGGGTTAGGTGGGTGGGCATTCTTTAAAAATAATTTTGGTTAGGAATTTTATATGTTGTGGCACCTACTAATATAGGATATTTGTTGGATGTGCAAGCTCCTCCAGAATTCACTAATAAAGTTAACTTATCTCTTAAGTCAACTGTGCTATTACGTTCAAGAATCATGTATTATTTGTATTTATGTGGAAACACCCTACAGCTGAGGGCACATAATAGTGAAGCCACAATGTAATAGTAAACAGGAGCTTAATGGTAATGGCTGGCATGAGGTTGAATTTACATGCTATGAAAAGCCTCTAAAAAAAAAATTTCAGACAAACCTCAGGTGAGAATCCAAGCCCCTGTTGTGGATTGACCAATAAAGTCCTTGGGTATTTTGAAGACTACTTGATATGCTCACTTTTAAGGGGTAATTAGCTCAGATTCTGTTGGGTGCATGAGACAAAATATGCCAAGTGGATATATGTCCTCATGGATGAGGGAAATTCCTAAATCTGAGCAAAATAACAAAGTGTTTTTTTTTAGAAAAGGAGCTAGCATAGTCAGAGAGGTGGGAAAGAAAGTCCTATCACACAGTGTAACTGGTGTGTTGGGTTGGTAGAAAGAGATCTGCAAAATGAGAGACCAGTCATAGGTAGTACAAGTAACAGTCCTCCATCAATATCCTTCACCTGTTGTCTTCCAACTAGGGTCATTAACAAGCGATTACGTGCATAGGCCCTTTTATTTTAGAGAAGGACAAGGATTACTCTTTGACCTGGAGGACTTTAATTCCTGCATATTGCTAAATAGTGCATGCATTAGGCTCTTCTTTGGAAGTTCATGGGGGTTCATTAGCACACACCTTCTATTCCATCATACATCAAGTGTTCATGCCCTCATATTTCTGAACATGTATGGTGGCTCATGAAAGAGCAAATTCCAGAGGCAAAGTGACCTGTTGGTCTAATAGCAGCTACTTTAATTAAGATACATACTTTACTTCTTTAAAATTACTTTTTTTAGCCGTTTGTCTAACTTAAATTTATCTTTTAAAACCCATTCCACTAAACATGTGTAACGTCTACGCATAGGCAAATGCTTAGAAACCAACTGTAATTATGCTAATCATATTACTGATGAGGTAAATGATAAATGTGGAAGCAAGTAGGTTAATTTTGCCTGATGAATGGCTTAAAATGATGATTTTGTAAGTAATCTTTTTTTCTTTGAAAGTTAACCTATTCTCCAAATGTATTTAAAATGTTAATAAACTATTAAATGAACAAGTAACACTATATTCAACATTTTTACACCATTTCTACAGTGGGTAAAATTGTAGTATAAAGTTGGTGTATACTCGATAACAATTTACATGTTTATTTTACCATCTGGTAAATGTGTAAACGATATTTTGAGAAGCACATTTCAAATTCACTTTAACAACTTATCCCCGACAATATGTATCCTATCTCATGTACTGACTGGAAGGATTTTGAAAACCTCTCAGAGAGAAATGCAGTAACAAAACATATTATTTTTTTAGTGATGCTTAAGATCAAGCTTAGCACCAACTTGGAGGTCTTTCACAAATTGGGAAGGATTTTGGTACGTTAGTGGTGTCAAAGAGAGATTTCAGACTATTTTACACACCACAGTATAAAGATATCATCTCATCTTCCCTAAAGAAACCATAGGGTGCATAGGTAGTAATAACAAAACAAATACAGTTTGCTATGTTGTTGTATAACTGCATTGTATCCTTTCCAGGGGGTTTGAATTTGCTATCTCTTGTGTCTAAATATGGGAAGCTCATTATTAGAAGTGTTACAATGAACCCCAAGTGGATTGCTTTTCTCATGTACTTTAACAGCACTTTGACACTACAGCCTTCTGCCTTTTTATTTTAGTCTTCTGTTTATTGGTCTCACTGGATAAAATCACAACCACTTTCTTAAATATAACAAACTAGAGAATATTCTGTTGTAGCCCAGCTTTTATTCACCCTTTCCTGGCTGTTACTAATCTTAACTGGGGGTGGGGGGGGGAGACTTCCTTTTCTCCTCCCCCAACCCCAATAAAATGTAAAAAACTCTGCCCTGAAAGCAAGTCTGCCTGGAGAACACCTCCACACTAATTACCATCTGGCCAATCTGCAAATGAGGTTTGAGAGCAGATTTCAAATGTAGGCTCCAGCTAGTCTGTGCCTTGTATTAGTCCATTAGTATTTATTAAGAGATCTGAAAGCATTTAGGCAACTAGAGAGCAGGCAGGTACCTTAACTTCTGAAAAACCAATTGGGCATTTTTTTGTTCCTTGCAGGGTCTAAATGCCTTTGACCTGGTACGTGATCAGCAATGCTCCTTTAGCATTTGTGGCAGCATTTTGTTGAGTATATACTTCATAATGGCCAATGATCTTAAAACACCTGTTAAAATGCATTGGTGGAAAAAAATGTAGAAAATTATTGTACAAATTGTAGTTACTCCTGCATCAAAGTTAATGAATTACAATATTAATTTGTTTTTATTTATGTGCTATTTCAGCATGGTGGGAGAAAACACTGCTTAGTACACAGTCAAATCCATTACTCATCCAGACTAATCAGAGAAACCTGTGAGCTGCTCTGATTTTATGTGTGTATTTAAAACCAGATTTTATTATTATTAATAATAATAAAACCAGGTTGTCATTAAACAGCAACATTAAACTTAAAAAGGTATTTGCATTTTTGCAGCTTAATTAGGCACACTGCATTTAACAGTACTGTTGTGTTTCATTTAGATATTACATGCATTTCACTAATGAATTTCAGGTTCAGCAGCCATTTTCTCTTCTTCTTCCCTTACAGAGATTAGACAGGACCTTTTCTGTTTGTAAATCAAAGATGATGTAATTCTTATCAGACTTAAATAATTTTTCTTTTCCCTTTGCTGGCTTCTTGTTTTGTCTCAGCTTTGCAAAGAGCGCTGTCAATCTTATGTAAACAATAATCTATTATTGTGTTGTCAATGATAACAAAATCCCAGCCCAGAAACCCCTTCAGCAAAAGAGCACTAGCTGTTTAGGACACTTGTTAAAAAAGATCTTCCTGCAGGAGCCAGTTAGCTCATGGGTGAAGTCCCAATTGAGAGTACCTGGGAACATGCAGAACTGAACCTGAGTTTTGTAGCGCCAACAGCAGTTTCTAACAGGTACTTAAAAAATGTCTTTCTCTTTAGGTTGTCTGCTGGTATCTATATTGCAGAAGCAGGTGGTCAGCAAATTACTCCGGGGTTTAAAATGGTGTTTAATTGGAATCACCTGGAAAAAGTGGGCAACACATTGAAAATCTACTTCATAGAGTTCTGGAGAGGCTTCCAGAAATGATACAGGTTTGAAGGTAGGTAGTAAATAGACTAGGCATTGAATGCTGGGTAATGTTGCTTTTATTGTTTTGCATTGGAATTGTAATACAGCAATTTTTCAACGGAGAAGAATTTTCCTCTGTAGCTATTTACTGTTAGATGTGGTGTTTGCAATCATGCCTGCCAACTCCAGGAAGGGATCTGCCCCTTACCCTGTGATCACACTTACCCTGGTGGATTTCAAATAGAAGGTCCCTTGGCTTGCAAAATGTAAGCTGTTTCCCTTTAAGTGAAAAATATCCAAGCCCATTTTAAAAAGATTAATAAAAAGTGACCTTTCAAAAAAGTGAGTTAAAATTATATATTTAGTTATCATATTGTTAATAACTGGTGTTCGCTGGCCTCAGAAGCTTCCCTGCTCCCCATGTTTTTCTGTGTGTCTGCTTACTTCCAATAATTGTAAATACCAAACTATGTATTTAGTGCTTTAACTTTTAAAATACAATTTTAAAATTAAATGTGAAATTTTTATAGATTTTGATATTGACTAAAATGGCCCTTTTAAAGTGACATAAATACATAAATGGAGATCGATAAATTTATTTCAAACTACCATATGGGAAGGCTGATTACAAGGGCATGTGGAGCACAAAGCCAATTAAAGATATTCTTACTTCTTACTGTGGACCATTGCTGCCTTCCCTGTGTTCCCTGGAAGCTAAACTGAGTAGCATTTATGAAAAATATTAAGCTAAGAGTATCATCATAAATTCTCTCTTTATGTAGTCCTGTTCTCTATTGACAGTCAGATTTGCATCAAAGAACATGACACCAGTGACTTGCTGGCAGCTTAAGTAATTGGGGAAAAAAGTGGTTATTCATATGGAAACAGGAGTTGGCTCATTACAGCCAATCACCTGAATAGCAAATGGTATGGCTGCCAATAGATGGAGAAAAAGGCAAGTCTAGTGGAAAATAGGAGCATTTAAAGGCCAAGAAAAGACATATGGTCTGTCTATGCTTGCCTTATACGCCTGGAAATTATAAATTAAGCTACGATATAGCCCACCACCTTAATGTGAAATTCTCCATTTTCCCCATATTAATCTTGAGAAATTTAACAGATTTGGCTATTAACACTGACTTTGGCTTTTGTAACAGCATTGAAGTTTTATATTAAAATAATGGCTGAATTTATTGTTGTTTAATATTTGATTCTGTTATGGCTATACAGGATGTACATTTGAAATAAGCTCTCTTTCACAGCAATTGTAGATGTGGCTCTGTTTTGTCCTTTACAGATGTTCATATTTTCATGAGGGTAGGCAAGAGGAGAAAGCAAATTGCTCTTAGCTGCTCCTTTTTATAAGGTAATCCTGTGATGCTGATATGAAATGATTTGTGTCTTTAACGGATATCTCATTTACTGTTAGTGGTAGTCATAATTTTAATTCAGTGTGCTAATGCTCTCCTTTACTCCTTAAGGTATATTGGACTTTTATTTCATTACAGGAACAATGCAAGTTCAAATTGGTCTGTAAGTTTCAGAAACTTTGGGCTTATTGAGGAGGCTACCTGACCACTCTTCTGGTAAAGCATTAGTAAAAGTTGAGAAAACAAAATCTTCTAAAATGTGCTTGTGTAGACACATTTCACTTGAGAGACCAAGTTCTTGAATATCTGAGGGCAGTTTGAGTTGTAAAGATTTTATGTGGCCTCAAGACTATGAAGGCCTGTACCCTTCTTAGCTGCCACCTTCATGAGCTTTTCTTGTTTGTTTGATTTTTTTTTTTTTAATAGATTCCTTATTCTAAACCATCCCATGATCTAGAGTCACGTGGAGAACAGATGCTGAATTCTGCACCTTTTTTAATGCCATGTGTTGAAAATCCAATGGTTTCTCCTTTTCAGTTAAAAATACTGAGAAAATACGGGCCCCTGGACCTTATTTCTCCATTTCATGTACCTGAAGGAGTTACTAAAGCTATTAATTCTGGTTTGTATTCATGGGCTTTAAAAATAACTATTTTTTATATATTCCAAAATTCCTGATTGCAGCTGAAAACCCTTTTTTTGGTTAATAAATAATTTCTGACTTCATTGTGGTATTATAGGAACGATGAAGCCTAAGCTTTTGTTTTGAACGAAACTTTGGATTTAATGGAGGAACAATGAATGGTAAAACGGTGTATTACAACTAGCATGCATTTAAAATTTGATATGGGATAGATATGAAAACCATGGAATTTGAGGCTGCATAAAAATGTATATATGCTTATCCGAAATAATTACATCCATAAAGTTTCTAATTGGGTCCAGTGACATAGTACACTGGCAGTTCTTTCCCTACCCTTGCCAATGTTAGGTCCTTTCACAAGTACTTCTGTTCGCCTCTTCCCTACTGCTTCTTTGCGGGTGAGTGACCTGCTGGCTTCATTTCCTTGTCTTACTTCAGCACAGGCACAATCAAATCATCTCAACTAGTGACCCTTCTGACAAGGAACTGCAGAAATGAAGATTCTTCATCCACTTTGAATCTGGTGCGTGTCCCACAGGGTTATTTTGGGATTTCAGAGGTGTAGGGCAAAGGGAAGTAAATCTGCACAATTCTGAAAAAATGCTGCTAAGAAAAGTTCTTATGAAAATATTGCTTTATTTTGGGATCATCCTGCATTTAAAGTACTAAAGGCTTATATTTTAAGAAGTTTCATCTTAGTGACCTTTTTCATTCAGATCCAAAAATTAACCCATAACTCTTCAGTAAAGACTTACCAGGGAAGACCAGTCTAGGTAACAGGAGCCTTTGCCCACCAGTATACACTGATATCACTCATTTACTGTAGCTCCAATTAATGGTAGTAGAAGTTACACTTGTAAATTCCCCCACGCATTAATGAGCGAACAGACTCCCTCTGTTTAGTTAACCATCTTCCAGTTACCTGGCACTTTCCCCATCCCTTGTGAGATCTCAAATATTTAATTAAAGCCTTTTTTTCTTTTTTTTTTTTCTTTTTTCTTTTTCTTTTTTTTTTTTTTTCCCTCCCCCCACTCTCCTTCATTCAGTTTGTTGAGTTGTAATTCTTGTTGGCCTGATGCCTTGGCAACATTCAGCACTTCTAATTGCCTGTATAGTCTGGCCTAGTCATGGAGCCTTTTAACTTTCATTGAGGCTTCCAGCAGTATCAGCCTTGCTGGTCACAAGCTTCCCACTCAGGTTCCGTTCACAGCCCTTTCGCTGATTACTTGTTATGTATTTAAAGAGCTCCATACTGTTTATTTCATTTCCTATTTGAGATAGTCTGTTTGCTTAATTTTTTTCTATGCTAATTTAATTTTAAACATATAGGGCTGTCTTTCTGGTCAAACAAGCCAGAATTTTGCATCCGTATGTTACATTAAATAATAATAATAATAATACAACAAATAATAGTCAATGCTTTCTACTTCTGTAATGCCTACCATTCAACGATCCCAAAGCATTCTTATTTTACAAGTGGTAAAATGGTGTCAAGAGACATGAACTACTTGTTAAACATTACGTGTGACATCTGTTACAGAGCCAGACGTAGGATTGAGTAGTTTGGTTTCACTAATAGCAGTTAGCCTAATAATTGCAATATACTATAGGAATTATTAGGCTAAAATATGCTTCAACTGAATGGGCTGTACCCTTGCAGAGGCATGTACTGTGGAGACTTGTTCTCAGAATATCATGTTTGTTGGTATATCAGACACAGAATGGAAAATGGAATCGAATGGATATTGACATGGTCTCTGTAAAGGTTAGTAACCCCTGTAAGTATAAGTCATGTTGGTTTTATAGTCATTATTATGAATCACAAATAGACTGTCTTTAGAGTCTTTACTTTTAATCAGAAATAGTGTGGTATTTTGTCTCATTTTGTTTTCTGTGTGAAGACCTGGATTTCAGCAAACCTCTGGCTTACTATGGCTACAGTAAGTCATTTATGTCTCTGCAGAGATAACATGCTAATGTTAGGACTTATCCTAACATAATCTGAATGTGTCCTCTTTCAATGTCCAGCAGCATACAGAGAGCAACTGAAAATGGTCACTATAATTTGTGGTTTTAAGGTTGCTTTTGCCCAGCAGCTAATCATGGCTGTATGTTGTGAGGGCTACCATGACTCCCATCTGTGACCAAAGTCACATTCCTTTGTATGATCACTCTGAAGTAATCAATAACTAATTTTTCAATGCCTGCACTTGGCTTTTAGGATGTGAATGCTTATATGCATTGTTATTACATACGTGTCTTCTTCTTCCCAAGGTCAGACAGCAGAACACAAGAGTGAAGAAGAACTAATGTGACTATATCTGTAGTATATGTGAGTGGAGGTCAAGCAAGTAAAAAGAAGGAGAAATCAGTGCCGGCTGGGAAAGGTTCCCTAATGTGGTAAGCATGGTGAAATGATCTTTTATAGTTTTCTGGAGTGAAATTAACTTAATTCCTGTGGTGGTACAAGGATTACTAGGGACTGCATAGGAATAATAAGGTGGGCTGGAAAGCTAACAGCTGAGGTGTGTGGAAGTACAAGGTTATACAATATCCTTAAAAGAAAAATCTTAAAATGGAATCTGGTTGTTTTCTTCAGACAAGAAGAACTCAAACTGTGATCATGTCTGAAAAACAACAATATAAAAACCAGTTTGCTTCAAATACAGGATTTAATTTGTAAAATAAATGTATGTCCAATAATTTTTTTACTATTCCTTGTTTGACCCATATGTATTCTGAGCTCAGTGTTAAGCATAACTTGTTGCCCGTGGATGCATTTGGGCTTCTGGATAAAGACTGTGTGGGCTTCTGAGCAATAGTCTGCCAAGCAATATATCACGAATCCTAATTGTTTTAGAAAACAGTTGTTCTTTTCCTTCAGCAAATACTGTTGTATCCACATTATTAACATAGATATGTATAGTCTTTTTGAAAAATCATTCTCGGTTTAAAGAATTCTAATGCTTCATACAGTGATTATGCAAAAGTCTCATGTATAAGCAATACCGATGTTACTGGAAGCGCCTCATACAGAGTCCAAATATAGCAGATCAAATCAAAACTGTGCTACATCTTAAGCAACTGTTGACCCATTTCCATATCAAATTGGTTTCTGTCATAGAAGACTTTGCTTTTTCTTTTAGAGATATTTACTTGTGCTGTGCTAGCTCAACTACAGTAACAGCATGTTTTATTGTAAGATCATTAAATAATTGGTCAATTTGGTTTTAGCTTTGTTTATTAACAACTTTCTATTTAAGAGACTGTCATAATGAAAGGTTTGTTCCTGCTTTGTGGTATGTGAACATACCACTGGCTCCTGTAAAATCAGTCGCCATGATTCAGCACACGCAGAGAGCTGGTGCTAGGTGCTATGCCATGCGCAGGATGCCTACCAGTTGGCTTGATAAGCTCAGTCCTAAATATCTAACTTAAATAAACTGTGGGGAGGAAATTCTATTTTGAAGATTTCACTTTGTTCTTTGTTTACCTTTTTTTTTTTTTTTGAGGGTGGAGGGGAGGGACCAACAGGATTAATGGACTCTGGCATATCAGTAAAATCTCAGAGATTGCTATAAATACCTACAGTAGGAAGAAGGTGAGTTGTTAGTGGTGTAAAGCTTGTTTGTGTCACTTTGTTATAACATTAGCAGTATCTTAATATAGATTTCTTTTTTGGCTTCTAATGATACATTCGTTTCACTGGGGAGGGGATAGGGAAAATGTGCTACTGCTGTTTTTCTGACATGAACTGCTCTTCCTCTCCATGGCTCCTGGAGCCTCCTCAGGTGCTAGTGGGCCCTCTCGTGGGGCTGGCCACCGAACCGTGCGCCAGCTCCTGCTGTGTTTGGTAGGAATACCTCATTGTGTATGAACACTCATGTAGCTGACTCTGCCAGAGTAAATCTCAGACCCTTGTAATATTTTAAAGCAGGACTCATTTCTTGCACAAAAAATGTATAGCCCAGGTTGCAGGCAGCAGGCCAGTTGGGACCACAGCAAAGCTGCCAGTGCCTGTGATCCAAATAATCCATTATGTTGCATGCCATCAAGTCACTCCTACAAAATTAATTGTATAATATCAGCAATATTTGAGCATTTTGGCTTAGAAATTTCAAATAAATTTGCTTTTTCCCAATATTTTTTTTCTACGTGTTCAAGAAAATACCTCTATTTGAAAAATAAATGTAATAAATCATTACGGTGATTTTGATACCTTAACAGCAGTTCTGTGCTGAGGTCATGTATTTTTTGTCATCAGTGTCTATACAGATGATTCAAATGTACAAGAACAATTTGTAAACTTAGTATATTCGTACTTTTTCAGTTTTTCCTTTGAAAAGTGGGTTCTTATCACTTGGGGGAGCAGTGCTCTTAACATCAGAGTTTTCACGAAAAGCTAAACTTATTTTCTGAGGACGTGGTTTTACACATGCCACCTCCCAAAAGACTTTTCTGATCTCAGTTAGCAGAACCTACTGTTTCCTCCCCAGACTCAAGATCTATATGTCAAATATAGAAACAACAAACATGTGTGGTTTTACGTCTCATGTCAAAGATGATGCCTTCAGAAAGCATAGCTGTTTCCATGATGATGCCAGGGCAGGGTACAATATTAGCTGACAGGCATGGGAATCTTATATTTTACTGGGTATGTCCTGATGCAGAGCTAGCCTAAGTTGTGCCCTGCAAGCAGGCAGGTTACAGCCTGCTCCAGCTGCCCTGCAGCTCCTGTTCCTCAGTGGTGCTGAGTTCTGTGTTCCCACTTCTGCATGTGGAGACCCTCCAGTAGCATGGGGCTGTTCAGGGACTGGTGACCCATGAGACAAGCTGCCTCATGGTAATAATCTGTAATGGTACATTTTCACATCAGAGAACGAAGATTTTTTGGAAATGTCATTTCTAATGGAGATAA